TTCCTATAATTTTATTTTATTTTATTGATTTTTTCTTACGCGAATCTTTCGTACCAAATATTTCGAGCTGTATTGGCTAGCATTTTTTTATTCATTAAAATTTTTTTAATGATATATTTTTTGATCTATTTATTTAATTTTTTTTTTTAATTATTTCTTTTTGCTTCCTCTTACGAGATGGATTGATTTTTCATTTAATAAGTTTTTTTTTTAATTTTTACAGGTTGGATGCGGGCCGCAGAGATTCTTTATAAATATAAATATAAATATTTATTATTTTACTGTTTTGTTTGACCGTTCAGGCCGTAGCTATTAGTATTATTTTTTTTTAAAAAATCGTTTATATTTTATTGTGAGAGCGGTGATTTGTCGGATAAAAGCCGAAATGTAAGAATCGGTTTTTATTATAATCCTGAAATCGTACATATTATTTTGAATTCGATATTTGCATGTTATGTTTAGTAGTAAATGCCATATTTTTTTTAAAAATGATTTATATTCTCCTCAATGTAAAATTCCAAAGAGGACCACGATTGTAAGTAAGTTTATCCTCCCCAAAAATTAGACAGGCAATAAGGGCTTTCAATTCGAATTCACCTCTACTCCCAATATTCAATTTTTCATGCAGGAGGTTGAAGCGACACAGGAAACATTATTTTTAAATATAAAAAAACTGATTCTTGTGATATTTGTAACATCACAAAAAAATTGTCAAAAGAGAAATGGTACTTGTTCGCTATTAGTATCTACTAATACCCAGGCTGCACGACGAGGACGTCAATACCAATCGCAACCCAAAAATTTAAATCGTATCCTGTAAACAAAGAAATAATTTAATTAGAATTGAAGATAAATTCAACCTTATAATAGTTAAAGAAACTTACTAAAAAGAAATGACCGAAAGGATATTCAGTTCAAAGCATGGTCGGAAATTTCGGAAGATTATAAACATTGTAAAAGAGATAAATTTTGTTATAAAACGGTTTTTTCTAAAAAAAAAATTAAATTCAAATATTAAATAGAATACTTTCATGTAAAAAAAGGGGGGCTTTTTGCTTATTGTAGAGACAATTCGATACTTTTGAAAAAGATAAATTTTGTTAGAAAATATTTTTTAAAAAAATAAAATAAAATTATAATATTAAATAGAATACTTTCATGTAAAAGCCTTTGTTTAATGAAGGACATTTCGACACATTTGTAAAAGAAGAAATTTTTTAGAAAATGCTTTTTTTTAAAAAAAAATTAAATTACAAATATTAAATGGAATACTTTCATGCTACAGGGTTTTATTGTAGGGACAATTCAACTTCAGCCAAGGTCCAAGACGGGATCGATAAAGCAAAAGTTCTTCCAAGAATCACGACCATTTGCAATGGGATCGATAAGAACGGATAGGTTTCCTCCAATAATCACGAGATCGATAAGTACCTTCTTCGAAGGATCACGACAGGATCGATGAAACGAATTTTCTATTCCAAGAATCACCATTTGCAACGGGATCGATAAGAACGGATAGTTTTCTTCCAAGAATCACGACCATTTGCAATGGGATCGATAAGAATGGATGATTTTTCTTAAAAGAATCGCGACCACTTGATGGGATCGATAAGTACCTTCGAAGGATCACGACAGAATCGATGAAACGAATTTTTCTTCTAAGAATCACGACCATTTGATGGGATCGATAAGTACCTTCGAAGGATCACGTCGATAACAGCGAACATTCTTCCAAGAATCGCGACCATTTGCAACGGGATCGATAAAAACGGAATAGCTTTCGTCCAAGAATAACTACCAATTGATGGGATCGAGACCGAGTATCTTCTTCGAAGGATCAAGACCATTTGATGGAATCGATCAGAACGGATATCTA